AATGCACTCCTGCATATTGCATAATATAACTTATACTATGTGGAAAAGTAACAAAGGACTTAATACTAGGAACCACAAAGACCAATCATCATGAATTTTCTTAAGATTGTGTTTTATAAGAATACACTTAAATGTGTGCAGCTATTTTCTTATGTTGAAAAGACTGAAAGTTTAAAACATCATAGCAAATAATCAATATTAAATTGTTTTTGTTCACACTGAGATACTACTGTGTATGCAAAATGCCTTAATTATTAAGAAGCCAATGTGTAAAAAATACCAAGATCTGTTTTTTAAAAAAGAAAACCAACCATGCTTCTGACGTGTTAAAATCATGGAGTTATATCACAGGTTTACATTCATGTAGAATGTTGTGGAAACCTACTTCACATCAGTTTTAAAACTTGAGAATATTTTTAGTATCTCTGATTTTCTTTTTGTCAGAATCATCGTGGCATGTATGTATGTGTTATACCTATACTAAAAACAAAAAATGAATATGTATTGTATGAATGCTTAACTGGAAATGTTGGAGTTAGCTAATTTATGTTCACTTTTTATTGTACATGGATTTCTAATATTTTCAGTTCTGTATCATTTAAGTGTCTTTCATTGCAGTAAATTCACTAAATATTTCTATTTTTGCTCTTTTTTAATTCTAATTTTATATGAATCCTACATATATTTTGAAGTTACATATGCTTTAGAAATGTTTAAACTTAGTACTGCCCATGTATTTTAAATTCCAATACTTTACATTACTACCTCCTCAATAGTTGGCATAAAATGCCAGCAGAGTGTATGATGCCCTTCTTTTAAATGTAATTTTTAGTGTCAATGAACCCAATTCTAGAATATCTTAACAGTTCTATATCTTACCTATCTTAAAAGTGATAGGAGTTTAACACAGCTAATGAATGGTTTATATAAGCATCTTATCTTTAGTAAGCCAGACAGGCATCTAAGCAAAGATTCTTGTTAGTTGAATTTCTCTGCAGTAGTTTTCCAAGCCCTTGAATGTAAGTTTCTAGCACTTACCCAATTAGTGTCTACTGATAGGAATTCCAAGCAAGCATCTTTCGTGTTGTAAAATGATAAAAAAAAACAAACACAGTACCATTTGCTGAGAGTTATGCATATTTATGTAGCTCTGTTTTGTATAGCTGTGTATTCCCAACAACAGGAATCATTGTAGTAATTGGTTTTTAGATTACTGTATATATTCGAGTATAAGCTGACCTGAATGTCAGCCCCGGCACCCAGTTTTACCACAAAAATGGCATTTAAAATGTGCTGAAAAACTCGGCTTATACACGGGCATGTACGGTAATTGTTAGAATCATTCAGACTACTGCACTTAAATGATCTGAGAGGTGAGCTATTTACGAAGTTTTTCAGGAGGTGGGAATTTGAATCGTCAGCCTGCGTCATCTCTGTCGGGCCTTAAGACGACGAGATACAACCGTTCCTTGTTTCTGTTCTTTTAGTTCTCACTGGTTTTGTCTAGCTAACAGTTAACTTGGTGAGAGCACGGTGCTAAAGAGACTAAGGACAGGAGTTTAATCTTTTCAGAGGTTTATTAATTTTATATACACACACCAATTTCATGCCTGAAGCTTGGCCTCCCTCAGTCTAGCTCACATGTTCAACTCTTGGTCACAAGGAAGATCTTGAGTATAATTTAGCAGAGTCTCAAATGGGAAAATAATTTGTTACTTGATATATGTGATATGTGATTGCAGAGAAGAGCCCTGGTAGCATAGTGAGTTATGTGTTGGGCTACTAACTGCAAGGTCAGCGGTTTGAAACCGCCACCCACTCTGCAAGGGAAAGATGAGGTTTTCTACTCCTGAAAATTGATGGTTTCAGGAAACACATGGGCAGTTCTATGTCCCACAGGGTCAGTATCTGACTCGATGCCAGTGAGTGAGATAGACTTAATGAGATATTTACCATACCATATTTTAAATAGTTATCATTATTTTCTCTGGGCCATAATTTACTTAACAATACCTTTTAAAATCAAACTTCAATGAATTGGACTTAAGTAAAAATTAATGCTACAAAAAAAGAGATAAGCCTGTTGATATATATACTTTGAACTTTGTAAGGCAGAAGTCTTCAGCTCACAAAGATTATGTGGTAGCACACAGTCCACATTTCTCTTCTTGGCCTTGGCAGTTGTTTACTTTAGTACCTACCTCTCAGTTTTTGAGTTAGTACTAGGTAGTTTTAAGATTCTTGAATGAAAGATGAAAGTTTTTTGAACAATTCTATTGCTGTTAAACGCATCTCATTTTAATGAGAACATTGTTGATCTCCAGAAAGAGTCCAACAAAAGTCTTTACAAAGTGTACTGGCAATTGTATTGGCCTAGATAGCACAAATGCCGCTTGTCATTGCTCATTTGTTACAGTGTACCCGACTGCGAGACTACCCAAGGTCTCTGTGCCCTTCTAGGTCTCCTGCAGTTTTAGATTTTCTATGCATGACTTTGTTTACTTTGCAAGTCTTAGGGACAGGTAGTTATTAAAGTGATGGGGATAATAAATCATTTCTACAAGAGCTAAATCA